TACGTGCAGCCTGAATCGCCCAAAACATGCCCAAACCATCTCGTTGCCACCTGAGTCACCCAAACACCCCTGCCCTGCCCCTGTCGCCAGCCCCACGCCCTCTCCCCAGACCCTGCTCACAGGTCCACACCCCGCTCCTGCTCCCCCCGAGCACCCCCTCCCCTCTCCCTGCTGCCTCCGGGGCTCGGTGGGGCCCAAAAGAGCACCAGGCACCTCGGGGGGGGTGTGTTTTGGGCCCCCCAGGGCAGGGGGGCCACTCCACAGCCCCTCCGGTGCCCCCCTGCAGGGTGAGGTGCTGCGGGAGGGATGCGGCGCTTGGGCAAGATGTTTGTGGTGTGTGGGAGTGTGTTGTCTGGAGAGGTGCCGGTATCCAGGCACGGGCCTGGCCGGGCGAGCCCGTGGTGTGGCACCAAGCCCTGGTACCCACGGCGGGTGCAGCCAGCCCCAGCAGTGGGGATTCCCCCCCGTGTGGGGGAGCATTCCCATGGGAATGGCACTGCCAAACACCTGGACAGGAACCCCCTTCTGCGCCTGTTGCTCCAGCAGTGCTGAGCCAGTGCTCCAGGAGGGCAGAGGGACCCTCAGGAGGGTCACCTAGAGCTGTGGGGCCAAGACAGGGGCTGGCCTGCACCATGTCCCAGACTCCCAGGGCGATGTCCAAGCAGGGGCAGCACCAGTGAGAGGGGCAGGGGTTGCCACTGCACCCATCCCAGCCCCTGCAGCCCACGGGGAGGTGGCTGCATCCCAGAAACCAGCGCAGGTTCCCAACGGCTTCCCAGGCATCGGGAGAGGTGTCGCTCCCAGGAGGTGCCAAGGAGCCTTAATCCATCAGCAAACAGGGATAAGTGTTTGTCAGCACCGCAGAGGGCTCGGCGCCGGCACAACGGAGCGGTGCTGGCACTGTGGAGCTTCCCACTGCCGAGGCTCCAAGGTGCCAACCCCCTCGCCCTCTGATGGGGTGGGGGCCAGCAAAGCCTCCCTGCAGCCTCCCTGGGACCCTGGGACCCGCTCTGGGAGACGGGACAGCCCCGGGGCTGCAGCAGGACCGGGCACGGGCAAGGCCAGTGGGGCATCACCACCCCGCTGGGCTGCAGGGACAGGCAAGGACAGACCTCGGGTCCCTGTTCTGGGCCATACTGGGCTGTGCTGGGCCATACTGAACTGTGCTGGGCTGTAGTGAGCCATACAGGTCTGTGCTGGGCCATGGTGGGCATTCCTGCACCTTGCTGGGCAATACTGGGCTATGATGAGCCATGCTGGGCTGTGCTGGGCTGAACTGGGCCATCCTGGACCATACTGGGCTGTACTGGACTGTCCTGGACCATACTGGGCCATGCTGAGCTGTACTGGGCTGTACTGGGCCGTGCTGGGCTGTGCTGAGCCATACCGGGCCATGCTGAGCTGTACTGGGCCAAACTGGGCCATGCTGGGCTGTGCTGAGCCATACTGGGCCGTGCTGGGCTGTGCTGAGCCATACTGGGCCGTGCTGGGCTGTGCTGGGCCGTGCTGGGCTGTGCTGAGCTGTACTGGGCCGAACTGGGCCGTGCTGGGCTGTGCTGAGCCCTGCCACGCTCCTCCTGCCAGCACGGAGTGGCTGCTGCTGCCCGGGGCGGCGGGAAGGGGCCCTGGTGGTAAATGAGCCGTGAGGAGCAGCTGCGATTCCAGCGGATCCACCGAACCACGCGCGGCTTCTTCAAAGCTCCCGACGAGGAGGGGGAGCGACCGGCCTGGGCACCTCTCCCCTGCCCTGGGCACCTCTCCCCTGCCCTGGGCACCTCTCCCCTGCCCGTGGGCAGCCGTGGCTCCCGGAGCCTCCGTGGCACCCCTGCAGTGCCGCTGCGGAGCCACAGCCCCGCGGGGATGTTGGTCCCGGGCAAGCGGGAGCCCGGAGGTGCTGGGCTGTGGTCACTCAGTGTCAGACGAGCCGTCCACAGAGGGAAAGCCCACGCTGGTGAGCTGGTGCCTGACTGAGCTGGGTGTCACGGGTGCACTGCCAGAGCCACCGTGCCCGGCCCAACACCCGGGGGCTGCGGGGAAGGTGCTGGGTCTGAGTGACGGGGCTTGGGCCGAGCTGGCAGAGCTGGTGACGGGTCCTGGTAGTGACCACTCCAACCCCCGCAAACTGTGCTGCTGCTGGCAGGGCTCCCAACCATGGGGACATCCCACCCGAGCCCCCAGTGCTCACCCAGACTGCCTGACATCACCGGGCAGCACCGGCCCCCTGCACCATGTCCGTCTGTCCCAGTCTGGGCCCACGGACAGCCCGAGGGCCAGCAGCACAGGGCACAGCCCCCTGGCTCGGGAGGATCTGGCAGGAGGGCTCAGCACAGCTCTGGGGTGGCAGTGGCAGCATGAGGAGTGCCAGCTTGGGCACAGGACGCCACACTCCCCATCCCTGCGGGCGGACGCTGGGGAAGGGGCGAGGCACAGCGGGAGCGCGGCACGAAGCCGGGGCCGGGGCCAGCGCTGAGCTCAGCGCCGGGAGGGGCCTGCCAGGGCTCTGCTGCCCGGGATCGGTGCCTCGGACAGGTGAGAGCGGCACAGGCACACACACATCTGCCGTGCCAGTGGTTCTGCACACTCACACGCGTGTGCCTGGGCACGTGCTGGCCCTGGCCAGAGATCAGAGCCGGGGAGTTGATGCCAACCCGCCCGGGACCGAGGCCTCCAGCCCTGCCAGACTCCATCACCACCGAGGCCTCCAGCCCTGCCAGCCTCCATCACCACTGTGCCATCATCTCCAGCCCCACTGGTGTCCCAGCCCTGTGCCCAGATGGTGGCTTTGCGTGGGGCAGGCTGGGGGCCCAGAGGGTGGCTCTCACTCCTTCCCCACCCACACCATATCCAGACAGGGGCTCAGAGGGCTCTGGGCTGTGGATCTCTCCCTTTCCCATTCCACACCTGGGCACTGGGCAAGGGCTTCGCCCAGGACATGGGTGCAAACTGCAGGTGGGAGCCCGAGCAGCCCAGGACAGAGCTGTGCCAGGGCCAGGAAAGCTGGGAGCAGAGTGATGGGAGCTGGGCTGTGCCCCCTCGGACTGGAGTACCTGTCCTGGCACCGTCTTGTCTGGGGGGGACAGGAGGTGTCTGGGGGGGACACACCTGAGCAATCTCCCCTTTGCCAGCCCAGCCCCGGGGCACAGTGCTCACCCCACGGCGTGGCCGGACCCCATTGCCTGGGATGAAGAGCGTGGCTCCAGCCACAGCCAGTGTGGCTGTGTGGGGTGTGTGGGGTGGGACGTGTGGCAGGGCAGGCCCCGCTCCCAGGGTTCCCACATCCAAGGCGAGCACAGGGGTGGTTGGGCAACAGGGTGGCACCCGCCTCCCGCTCCCTGTGCGGGGGCCACCCAGCTCCACGGGGCACACGGCGGGACACTGCTCTGGCCTGTGAGTGGGGCCACGGGACCCAGCTCAGGGGCTCGGGGCTGAGCACCCAGACACAACAGTCCCACCCAGGGCCAAGCCGCCAGCCTGGCTCCCCACTGCTGCCACCCACTCACCCACTGCTGCCACCCGCTCACCCACTGCCCCTGTGACACCATCCCCCAAACCCAGCACGTGCTGTGGGCCACAGAGGCTCCCCCAGGGCATCCCTGCTCCTGTCTCCCTGTGGATGGTGCAGCCCCCCTGGGACCCCTTGTGCCCCTCCTCGTGCTCCAGGCGGGTGCCTCTGCCCGCTGTGTCGCCCCCAGCCCCGGGGGGCTGCACACGCAGGGTCTGTGTCTGTGTGAACACCCTGCAGACAGTTTGGTGTGGGCCCGGCCCGCCCGCCCCTGCTGCCTTTGCTTCCCGAGCCGGCACCGCTGCCCGGGGCTCAGGATGTGGCTGACACAGGCTGCGGTGCCGGTGGTGCCGGTGGTGCCGGGCGTGTTGCCCCAGCTGGGAGTGGTGGAAGAGATTTCCACAGGCTCAGGAATGTGCAACACGACTCGTCTCGGTGTTCCAGCCCGTGCCGGCAGCGCCGCGGGACCATCCCGGGACGTGTTGGCGGATGCGCCGTGGAGAGCTCTGGGCTCGGCCCCGTTCCAGGGGGGCTGTGGCAGCGCCGGGCGAGGGGCCCCGATCCGGGGTGTTCATGGGGCTCCCCCGTGCGTGACCGGGGACGTGCCCCAGAACAAACTCACTGGCACGATTCCAGCCCTGGCCCCTTTGGCTCTCTGTTCGTTCAGAAAAGGAGTGAGTGCGGAGAGGGTTTTAGGGTGAAACAGTGGAGAAATGGGAGTGGAAGCCATGAGAACAGGGTCAGGCAACCAAGGGGACAGGGATAGGGAGGGGGCAGCCAGGCAGAGCCCCAGCACTGGTGAAGGATCAGAGGGAATGGCCGCAGCCCCCATTTGTGGGATCTGGGACTCCCCAAGCTGGGGAGGTGCCAGGCAAGGGCTGTGGTGCTGCAATACCTGGGGACAGTCCCCGTGCTCAAGGTGTCCCCAACTCCCAGAGCAGGGACACAGCCAGGGCCTCCAGACACCCCATCCCATCCCGACAGGCAGCTGGGCCCATCCCAACTGTCCCCCAGCCATCCCAACTGGGACGGGGCAGGCGGGTGACGGATGCACTGGGACCACGATGCCCGGGGACCACACGGACACCCCTGGAGCTCTCAGGGCGGGGGGTGGGCGAAGGGCAGCCAGCACTGTGAGGGAGGCACCACCACAGGCACCCAGGGATGAGGACCCGGCCCCTCCCAGCAGTGCCCGGCGTGGGCACAGCAGGAATGCCAGCAATGCCTTCCTCGGAAAGGAGGTAACGCGGCGCGGTGCCCGCTGGCACCCGCTGCAGTGCCCGGGGCTTTGCCAGCCACGGCGCCGGGCGGCTCTGCCGGCAGCACCAGCTGGGGCAGCACCAGCCGGGACACACCCGGCCGTGCCCGGCCACCCCCTGTGCCACCGCGACAGCGTGCGCTGGCTTCGGGGATGTGACACCCCCCGGCCATGGCAGCCCCGACTGCAGGGTCAGCGGACAGACGGACAGACTGCAGGGTCAGCAGACAGATGGACAGACTGCAGCCCCAGCCCCGACTGCAGGGTCAGCAGACAGACGGACAGACTGCAGGGTCAGCAGACAGACGGACAGACTGCAGCCCCTGCACTGACAGCGGGGTGAGTGGACAGACGGACAGACTGCAGTCCCTGCACTGACAGT